AAGATGTGGAATTTTGCCAAGGTGGAGATTTGTTGAATTTGGCAAAACCTTTTGTCCCACATCTGTGGGAAAAGAAGGGTTGAGGGGTTTTCCCCTATAAAAGAAGACTTAATGTTTGGGATTTAAACATACCTCTCATTTGCCTTCTCATCTGTTTAAGACATTTGTATCTTCTCTCTTTAGTATTATTTCACTTGTATTTTTGGAGTGAAATAAAATATTGGTTGTGTCTAAGGAGTAGGCAAAATTAGCCGAACCTCATAAATTCTGGTGTTCCCTTTATTGTTGCTTTATTATCTTATTTATTATTTGGTGGCTCTCATAATTTTTGGTATAGTAATTGTGACTTATTCACACTATATACATTTGGCTTCCGCAACAGTCCAAATTAAAAGAACTTCAGCTTGGCAGCAACATGTTTTCTGGCTTAATTCCTGATGAAATTGGTTCGATCACCAGTCTTGAAGTTTTTGTACTTTTCAACAATTCATTTCAAGGAAAGATTCCATCTTTTATAGGCAGACTCAGAAGTCTTCATCACCTAGATCTTCGAAAGAATCGTTTGAATTCAACCATTCCTTCTGAGCTTGGCCTCATGTGTACTAACCTCACCGTCTTGTTTTTGTCAGAGAATGTGTTGGAAGGACCATTGCCTATATCCTTGTCTTCTCTGACCAAGTTATCTCAATTGGGTTTGAACGGTAATAATCTTTCTGGTGAAATCTCATCGTATCTCATCAGCAATTGGACTGAGTTGATAGCTTTGATGCTTCATAACAATTCCTTTACTGGAAAAATTCCACCTGAAATCAGTCAGTTGAAAAGCCTCAAATATCTTTACCTCTATCTTAACAATTTCACTGGTTCTATTCCCTATCTGATTGGAAACTTGCAAAACTTGTTAGAGCTAGATGTCTCTGAAAACCATCTTTCAGGCACAATACCTCCAACCATTGGAAACCTGACCAATCTAACAACGCTGCATCTTTTCCCGAACAATCTTAGTGGAACCATTCCTCCTGAGATTGGCAACTTGACATCACTGCAAACCCTCGACATCAACAGCAATCGGCTTAGTGGTGAGCTGCCGGACAGCATTTCTGACCTCAGTTGTCTGATGTTTTTTTCTGTATATAGCAATAATATCTCAGGCAATGTCCCAAAGGACTTTGGAAAGAACAGTTCTCAATTGTCCACTGTCAGCTTGTCAAATAACAGCTTCACTGGTGAAGTACCTCCTGGATTATGCAGACATTTTGCTCTTGAGGAGTTGATAATAAATAGGAACAAATTCAATGGGAAATTACCAGATTGCTTGAAAAATTGCACAAAGCTAAAAGGAATAAGGCTTGACGACAACAAATTATGGGGTAATCTTGTAGAGGCATTTGGAGTGCACCCGAATCTTGTTGTCCTTTCTCTTAGTGACAACCACTTTTCAGGTGAACTTTCACCTGACTGGTGGAAAAGTGAAAATCTCACAGTACTAAGAATGGATGGAAACAAAATTACCGGTGTCATCCCTTTGTCTATTTGCAATGTGACATCACTGCAAACTCTAGTTTTAGCAAGAAACAATTTGAGGGGAGCAATTCCACAATGTTTGGGTAATATCAACAGCCTCCGCATTTTGGATATGCACCACAACAGTCTTTTCGGGACTCTTCCAACAACCTTTAGCGCTGGCAGTGTACTCAAAAGTTTCAACTTGCGTGGCAATGAACTGGAGGGGAGAATTTCCCGATCTTTGGCTAATTGCAAACAGTTGCAAGTTCTTGATTTAGGAGATAATTACCTCAATGACACATTCCCGATGTGGTTGGGAACTCTTCCAAACCTGAAAGTTTTAAGCTTGAGATCAAATCAATTGCATGGGGCCATTAGAACTTCAAGGATCAAAAATTTTCCTGAGCTTCGAATCATAGATCTCTCTTACAATGCCTTCACGGAAAACTTACCAACGAGCTTGTTTCAACAATTGAAATCCATGAGGACAATTGATCAAACATTGAAGGAACCAACATATATTGGAGATAGGTATTACCAAGATTCTGTAACACTTGCAACCAAGGGACGAAATCTTGAACTTGTTCAAATTTTGACAGTTTACACCGCTATTGATCTTTCAAGTAACAGATTTGAAGGACATATTCCAAGTATTATGGGAGATCTCATTGCACTTCGGTTTTTGAACTTATCTCACAATCGGTTGCAAGGTCATATACCGAATTCACTCGGAAATTTATCTGTAGTCGAGTCACTGGACCTTTCATTTAATCAGCTTTCAGGAGCGATACCACAACAACTTGCTTTTCTTACGTCTCTTGCATTCTTAAATCTATCCAACAATCATCTCCAAGGATGCATACCTCAAGGACCTCAATTTCAAACCTTTGAGAATAACTCATATGAAGGTAATAATGGATTACGTGGATTCCCACTTTCGAAAGGTTGTGGCAAAGATCGGGTATCAGAGACAAATAATACTGTATCTTCCTTAGATGATCAAGAAAGCACTTCTGAATTTCTCAATGATTTTTGGAACGCTTTTCTTATGGGATATGGTAGTGTACTGTGTATCGGATTGTCCATAATATATTTCATGATTTCATCTGGAAATCTGAAATGGCTTGCAAGAATTATTGAAGAACTTGAGCACAGAATTATTATGCAAAGGCGAAAGAAGCACCAAGGATGATTTGATTTCAGAACTTCAGGTACTCAAGTCAAGCTTTAGTGTTATTGTAACTACTAATATCTTAGTTTTCATACTTTTTGTTATAACAACTTACTTACTGGCTAGTAATTGAAAAGTGTTTGACTCACTATCTTATTTTATCCAAATTTCAGATGTCAAGGATAAGAAGACGTTGGCGTAATGGATTTGGCTATTCCTATGTTCACTTTTAAGCTTTATTTTGTGTCTGCGTTTACATTTGTGTTATCAAAGTTTGTAATATAGTTGCTTTATTAGAGAGTATATAATAATAATAATAATTATATTGCTTTATTTAAACCCATCTCACTAAATAAGTATTTATTTTACATGGACAATTTGAGGTTTGAAAGCATAGCTAGTTTGAGCCTTTGAGGAGTGAGGAGTATTAATTACAAGTGAACTAATGGCTTGGATACAGTGGCTTGAGGTAATCTATTTTGTGTTTATTGTTTTGTTTTGTTCAAAAAATAATAGTTTAAATGTGTTTGGACAAGAAAAAATAAAAATAAAAAAGGCAAAAACTGTGGGGCCCATACTTCACCTACCAAAGGAAATAAAGAAGAAATTAAAAAAGTTGGTGAAGTCAGATTAGGGTGGCTGAAATTTTTTCAATAAGGGCGGCTGAAATCTGGACTTTACAAATTGATGAACCAATCAGATTGGTTGGGTTGGTGAAAATGTGCCTATAAATATGAGCTTCATTCATTTAGTTTAAGTACACCAAAATAACGAGAAAAGTATAAAGCAGTGAGAGTAATTCACAAATTGTGGTCTGTGCGATAACCAGTGAGTGGTAGTAATATTATAGTGAGGTATTTTTAAATAAAGAGTGTTATTTCTTTCAAAGTTGTAGTAGTCTCTTGACACTACTGAGTTGTAATATTATAGTGGTAATATTGCTCCACTCGGGTATTGTATTTTATTTCGCTAAAATATTTTGTGTCATTGTTACTCTCTTGTGTTATTATTATTTGCTGTGGATATTATTCTTGAGCGAGATTATTTTTTATCCCAACAACGTGGTATCAGAGCCATGGCAAATAATGGTCCATTATCTTTTCAGTACCCCCGTCTGACAAAAGATAATTATGAGAAATGGTGTCTACGTATGAAAGCCATCCTTGGCTCTCAGGATGTATGGAAAATCGTAGACAGAGGGTATGCAAAACCTGATAATGAGGAAGTTCTGCCTCAAAATGAAAAAGAGGTCTTGGCAAAGACAAGGAAGAAGGATCAACAAGCCCTCACGCTCATCCACCAATATTTGGATGATGCCATGTTTGAGAAGGTGGCAGATGCTACCACCTCAAAGGATGCTTGGGAGATTTTACAAAATTCTCTTCCAGAAGTTGACAAGGTGAAAAAGGTAAAACTTCAAACTCTAAGGGTTGATTTTGAAGCTTTAAAAATGAAAGAATCCGAATGCATCTCGGATTATTTTTCAAAAGTGAAGGCTGTTGTAAATCAACTAAGAAGATACGGGGAGGACATAGAAGATGTCCGTCTGGTAGAAAAGATCCTTCACACTTTAACACCTAAATTTGATTTTGTGGTATGTGCTATTGAGGAGTCTAAAGATTTAGACTCTATGATGGTGGAGCAATGAGAAGGTTCTTTACAAGCCCACGAAGAAAAGATCAAAAGGAGAAAAGAAGTGCCATTGGAGCAACTTCTTAAAACTCAGGCATCCTTCAAAGATTGTGGAGGTGAAACAAGCTATCGAGGAAATGGACGAGGACGAGGCTGTGGCGGTCATGGAAGAGGAAGAAGTAACGGTAACAACTTCAACAATGAAGTTAAAATCCACCAAACATTCAGAGGTCGTGGTCGTGGACATAGAGGAGGAAGAGGACATGGCTACTACCAAGGAAATAATGGACAAAGGTATGACAAATCAAAAATTGAGTGTTATAATTGTCATAAATTTGGTCATTACTCTTGGGAATGTCGTAGCAATATTGAAGAAAAAGCTAACCTTATTGACAATAAGAAAGAAGAAAATGAGTCAACTTTGTTGATGGCACTCAAGGAAGAAGACAGAGATGATTGCAACTCATGGTATTTGGACAATGGAGCAAGCAATCATATGTGTGGATGCAAAGAGAAGTTTGTGGAGATCAATAAAACGGTGAGAGGTAATGTGTCCTTTGGAGATACCTCAAAGGTTCAAATCGAAGGGATAAGTACGATTCTGATCTCCTGTAAAGATGGTAGTCACAAGTTAATTCAAGATATTTATTATGTACCAAAATTAAAAAGTAATATTTTAAGTTTGGTCCAACTTCTTGAAAAGGAATATGACATCCATATGAAAAATATGCATCTTTGGCTTAGAGATTCAGGTGGAATTCTAATTGCTAAAGTGCATATGGCAAAGAATAGATTATTTTCTCTGAATCTTAAAACAATTGATGCAAAGTATTTGAAGGCTAATGTGCAAGATGAATCATGGTGTTGGCACATGCGATTTGGGCACTTAAATTTTGAAGCGCTCAAATCAATGGGAGAAAAGAACATGGTGCATGGGATACCATCAATCAACCATCCCAATCAATTGTGTGAAGCTTGTCTTCTTGGAAAGCATGCAAGAAGGAGTTTTCCAAAGGAGGCCATGTCAAGATCAACCAAGCCGCTCCACCTTGTCCACACTAATGTGTGTGGACCAATCAATCCACCTTCTTTTGGTAAAAGAAAATACTTTCTGCTTTTCATTGATGACTTTAGTAAAAAGACTTGGGTTTATTTCTTGAACAAAAAATCTGAAGCTTTTGCTGCTTTTAAAAATTTCAAAGTACTTGTGGAGAAAGAAAGTGGGTATGAAATTAAAGCTCTAAGGTCCGATAGAGGAGGCGAATTTACCTCAAACGAATTTAATGACTTCTGTCAACTTCATGGAATTTGTCGACCTATAACGGTACCTTATTCACCTCAACAAAATGGTGTTGCAGAGAGAAAGAATCGAACTACTCTTAATATGGCTAGATGTATGTTGAAAGCTAAAAGTATGCCCAAGGAATTTTGGGTCGAAGCTGTTTCTTGTGCAGTTTATTTGAATAACAGGTCTCCAACAAGAAATGTTAGAGATCAAACCCCTCAAGAAGCATGGAGTGGAATAAAGCCAAGTGTCAAGCACTTTAGAATCTTTAGGAGCATAGCCTATGCTCATGTGACACATCAAGGGAGAGAGAAGCTTGACGATCGAAGTGTCAAGCATGTATTTATTGGCTATGACACGAGTTCAAAAGGCTACAAACTATACAACCCAAATAGCGGCAAGGTGGTGGTAAGTCGCGATGTTGAATTTAATGAAGAATTGGCATGGAACTGGGAAGCTCATGAAGAAACTTCATATGATTTTCTTCCATACTTTGGTGATGAAGAAGAACCAGAAATCGTGGAACCTGTGCAAGATACAACTCCACCTCTTTCTCCAACCAATGTTGCATCTCCCTCTTCTCAAGAAATTCAAATGAACAGCCGCAAAGGACAAGGAGTATTCAAGAGCTCTATGAGGACACAGAAGAAGTTACTAATTTTGATTCTTTATATTGTCTCTTTGCTGACAGTGAACCAATGAACTTTCATGAAGCTGTTACAGATAACAAGTGGAGACAAGCCATGGAGGAGGAGATCGAGTCAATAGAGAAGAACAACACTTGGGAGTTAACAACTCTTCCCAAGGGTCATCAAGCAATTGGAGTGAAATGGGTATACAAGACAAAGAAGAATGTTAATGGAGATGTGGAGAGATATAAGGCACGATTTGTGGCTAAAGGCTACAAGCAAAGGCAAGGCATCGACTATGAAGAAGTCTATGCACCTGTTGCCCGCATGGAGACGATTCATTTGCTGATCTCTTTGGCGGCGCAAATGAAATGGAAGATTCATCAACTAGATGTCAAGTTAGCCTTCTTGAATGGCTATCTTGAAGAAGTCTATGTTGAACATCCATTGGGCTTCGTGGTTAAAAATCATGAAGATAAAGTGTTGCGGTTGAAGAAAGCTTTATATGGATTAAAGCAAGCCCCACGAGCATGGAATAGTTGCATTGACAAGTATTTTCAAGACAATGGGTTAACTCGTTGTCTCTATGAATATGCTATTTACCTTAAAGTTCATACTAATGGAGATATCTTACTTGTTTGTCTTTATGTTGATGATCTTATTTTTACAGGTAATAACCCAAGTTTGTTTGAAGCTTTCAAGAAAGATATGTCCCGTGAATTCGAGATGACAAACGTAGGGCCCATGTCATATTACCTGGGCCTAGAAGTGAAGCAGATGGAGGATGGAAATTTTATCTCTCAAGAAAGCTATACAAAAGAGATATTGAAGAAGTTCAACATGCTCTATTGCAACCCCGTGAATACACCGATGGAAAGTGGGACAAAATTGTCCAAGTTTGATGAAGGAAAAAAAGTGGATCCCACATTCTTCAAAAGACTTGTGGGAAGTTTGAGGTACTTGACTTGTACCAGGCCAGATATACTTTTTGCAGTTGGAGTAGTAAGTCGATTCATGGAGGCTCCTACCTCTACTCACTTGAAGGTTACTAGAAGAATTCTTCGTTACCTAAAAGGTATGATCGATTTTGGGTTATTTTATTCTTCTTCTAATGATTTCAACCTTGTGGGATTTTGTGATAGTGATTATGCGGGAGATATTGATAATAGAAAAAGTACAACTGGTTTTATATTTTTCTTGGGTAAATCTGTTATTTCTTGGAGTTCAAAGAAACAATCCATAGTTACTCTCTCGACTTGTGAAGCCGAATATATAGCAGCAACATCATGTACCTGTCATGTTATTTGGCTAAGAAGATTATTAAAGGAGATCAATTTACCACAAATGGAAGCTACAGAGATTTGTATTGATAACAAATCAGCACAAGACTCCAGTGTATCATGATCGAAGCAAGCATATAGATACAAGATATCACTTCATCAGAGAATGCATTTCCAAGAAGGAAGTCGAGCTCAAATATGTGAAGTCTCATGATCAAGTTGCAGATATCTTCACAAAGGCTCTCAAGTTTGAAGATTTTCAAAGATTGAGAACAAGACTTGGAATGAAGAAGAAAAATCAAAATTAAGGGATAGATTTGTGGGGCACATACTTCACCTACCAAAGGAAATAAAGAAGAAGTTAAAAAAGTTGGTGAAGTCAAATTAGGGTGGCTGAAATTTTTTCAATAAGGGCGGCTGAAATCTGG